TTCAAGCAGGGCTGTGGCCGATGGGTGAACCGGCACGAATTTTGCCCATGCCCTCCCTGTGCTATCCTCGCCTGGGTCTCCCTCACAAACACTGTTGCAACACTGTCACGTGCTATCTTGGAAACACCTAAGATAAATTTTATTCAGTGCAAAGAGACTTAGCCAAGGCCTTCTTGCTTTCTTTTTTGCTTGTGCAATTGTGACTTTATTATCTATATTTCTGGGAAAACTGTCTTTGCATTGGACCCGTCTCTTTTTGGGAGGAACAAAGAATATTGTTACGCTTATTCCTTTACTAAGAGTATCTTCTGGACCTCCAAATGGAGATTTTTTTTGGCATAATCTTTAAGTGTTACTTACATGTTATGCATATGATGTGCATATCTTTCAGCTGGAAGCAGGTGGTTCTGTTTATCAGGACTACCTCATGCATTACATAGAAGATTCATTTGCCACATAATTCCGGTGTTTACAGAAATAAACACTACCAAGTGTGAGGAGACATCATGCAGTTTATGTAGGACAGGTGCACACCTGGAGAACTAGTGCATATCCACTGAGTATTTACAAAATGTGTCACTGATACCCTCAAATATGTCAAACAACTTGTAACTGAAATACAAGAACTCTTCTTCAATATCTGCCAAACATGTTCAAAAGTTTGGTGCTGAAAACTTGAAAATCCATTGTTGAAAGTCCTGAACTACATAGATCTTCATATATGTGCCAAACTAGTCATGGATCAACTAACTGTATGAATACATTTTTGAAAAATAAGGTAAATAGCACCCCTGGGAAGCCTGAGGAACCCTGTGGCTGTGGGTGGAAAGGAGAAGTGCAACTCTTTTTTTCACTGCCAAGAACTGGGCTTGGAAACTGCTGCTTGCAACCCAAAGGGAGTTCTGACTAGCACCAACAGAGACTCCCCCCACCATGCAAACAGCCAATCAAGAAAGACCATTTTTGTTGGGATTGTGGACCACTCCAATGGGCTGCAGGCTGCTCAGACACCCTCCGCAGTGCTAGTCACCCAAACAAGATATGCATATTCAGTGGTTTTGACATTGGGCTAGACGGGACATCGGGAACAGGGGTGGGAAAGTGACAGCCAAGCTGCAGTGTGCACAGCACTGCATCTGTCTCTTTAGAGCTGTTTTCAGCCCTTCCCATCAAGTAGTCAAGAAAAGGAAGAAAAACAGGCCCTGTGCCTGGAGGACAGCGAATGTTTCAAAAGAGCAAGGGCAACAGGGTGGATATTCCTCAGATCACTGTAAGTTATCTCTTTATTTCACCTTAAGCACTAAGCTCCTGTTCATTTTCTTCTTGTGCAGAATGAACAAACACCACTTTCTGCTGCCAAACGAACCTTCTTTCTTGCTGGCCAGGTAGAGACCACGAATGAAAGTAAAATGGAAACAGAAAAGCCAAGCACAGAAAGGCCAAGGATGGGGTCTCCCTCTAGCCCATAATACCATGTTCTGATATTTAACTCTTGTTTATTGATTTATTTGATTTTTAGCGCACACCCATTAGCCACAAGGCTCCCTGGCTGGGTTACAGACAAATACATAACTTTTCAAGGTTTTGTTATGTACAGGGTGTTTTTTCAATAATTATAGGTGACCCCAATCATGAAAAAGCAACCCCCAGTCACAGAAACTCTTGGCCAGGAAGACCTTGGGAAGTTTTTCTAAATGAGGCATTTGCTGTGTATTCACCCTACTTAGTTCACTGAATTTTTCAGAGACCCCTATTCTGAAATTGCTTTTCTTAAATAAACTGTCACTCTTTAAATGGAGCTACCATTGTCCATCATGCGACAAAATAAAAAGACCATTTTCCACTGAACTCTTAGGGGAGAAAGCCCAGGCCTGAAGAGTGGGGCACCTTGTTGTCTCATGCTGGCTACCCAGTAGGAGATCCCTCGGAGATTCAGTACTAATGACCTGTTTCTAATGAGATGGGATGATCAGGCCTTGAGTACACTTCTCTGCAAACTTGCAAGCCCAGATCCCGAGAGATGAACGCTTTCACGGTCCCTTCCTGTTACGAGAATCTGGATGGCGTAAAATATACAACGGCAATGGGCTTTTGTCAGGCCCTTTCCACTTTTTGCCTCAGAAAAGAGCTGTGTCAGGGACAAGCAAATAGGTTTTTGCACCATACAGGAAGCTGCTCTTCTTGATGAGAGGAATTAAATATTAACAACGGGGTCCATCTTGCCTTCAGTTTGCAAACTCATCAATACTGAGCCCCTGGAGTACATGACCTAAGGTCTTTTTCTTTAACTGATATTAACCTGCTTTGATTGACTCGTCCCTGAAAGCCCAAGGTCTGAATATTTAAAGTTACATCAAGCTTTCCCAAAACATTAAGAGGTCATTCTCAGCTGGGGGACTTGACACACAACATTTAAAATGGTTGGATTGGCTTTGGGTTCTTTTTTCAGATGCTGCTTTGTCAGTAGAAGCTTGCCTCAAAACAGGGAGGACTCACTGCCTCCACCAGTATCATCATGCTAAGTTGAAGTTTCAGTAGATGAGCTGATCCTAGTCCAGTGCTGGGGAATCTCCAAACAGGTACCCGTCACCTGAACAGCTAAAGGTTGTGCCTTGTGGCCGCCTCTCTATCACCGCCCTGAACGAAACTGCAAGCTGGCCTAGCTGCTACATCCAGCCGATGCTCACCTGGTTCCATCAATCCTGGTTCAAGGAGCTGCATAGCCTTGGCCTGCACATGTTCCCTGCCCACTTTTCCCAGCTAGCTAGTGCAGTTCCTCTTGCAGCCCTGTCTCCTTTTCTTTGATTTGTACACCTCCCAGGGACAAGAAGGAAGCTGCTTCATACCAGATCCTGTCATGCCTGACGCCTCAACAGAGGCGGCACCTCACGAGGAAGAGTCAAACGCCCAAAGAGAGAATCAGACATCAGAACAGGAGGACTTATACTTGAGGCCCTGTGGCCAAGCGACCCTTCCACAACCTGACTTGGGAGTAGCTGAACAGAGAGCCGTCCCTCATCCTGACCCTTTACCCCTTGGGCAAACAGCCACGCCTCAGTCCGACCACAAGGGCCCCGAAGGAAGAGACACTACGTGTTCTGCCCCTGAAGAGTGTGGGCAGGATGCCCCCCTTCCCCCTGACGCTGAGTCTCCTGAACAGGATACAGAAGACACAAGAGGCGGGATAGATTTGACTCGCGCGACTCTTAGACGTAGCTTACGCCGATTGGAACAAAAGGAGGCTTTGTCCCACCTCGGAGGGAAAGGTGGGACAGGGAAAGCTGATCCCACGTGGGTTCCCTGAGGGACGTCACTAAGAAGATAGCAACTAACTTGTAAAGATCGTTGCAGTAGAGCTTATCTGTAGCGTTGTAAATCTTGTAGAAAAGTAGCAATAAAAGCTTTAGTTTTATTGCCTGCATAAGTGTGGGTCATTTATAACTGTGAGCTGACACCTCAGAACAGATCCAGACACTGGCCCATCCAGCTCACTGTGGCCTTCTGCACTGATTGGCAGTTGTTTTCAGGGGTCTCCAACAGGGGCTCCCCCACCACTACCTGGAGATGCCAAAGATCAAACTGCAAACCTTCTGCATGCGGAGCATGTGCTCCATGCCAGAGTGATGGCCCTTTGTTGCTTTCTCAGCTAATAGACAGGTAGGGATGGCTGAGGATTTTGTTTCAGTTCATCTCTGATCATAATTTGCCCAGTTTCACAAAGTGCAGGATAAAAAGAACTTTAAATCAAAATGAGAGACTCATGTTAAATCAAAATGTGAAACTGGCATTCAATTATCCTGGTCCAGGGTGTGTTGAGCGCTTTGCTTGTAAAATTCTCTGTTTGGGTCCTTGAGTATTCGGTGAACCACTATGAGTGCATGAGCTGATGGCATGGAATTGACACCTTACATGAACGGAACAGTTCCTTACATGGGAAAAAGCCACATGGTCAGTCCTCCTGCATGTAATTCCACCCTAACTACATAGGAGATACACATGGAGAAGCAACAGCCTGGGGGTATTTAGATGCATGTAAAGCAGGGGTTGAAAGCACACTTCCTGGGATAGCTCTACTATGGACAGAAGTAGTAACAACTAGAAGTCCACTAATGAGACAGGATTGCTGATCGAATCTTATTCTTTTTTTCAGAGCTTGATATGATTTTGAACCCTTTCTTTAAAATCCTGGACCTGGAGTCCAGCTGTGGTGTGGTTCCACGGCATCTCTCAGAAATGTAAAGAGGCTGTCAGTCCAGCGTATGCCAATCTGCCTAGCATGTTGGATGGACGATGTAACAGAAATCAGATTTGCTTTTGGCAAATCAAATGATAAATTCATTTTGAATGCAAAATAAGCAGCCTCTAGGATATATGTCAGGCTCTCTTACGCATTTTAGATTTAAAAAAATGCTGCAAATCAATGATGTGGGCAAATGCTTCCACAAGAGAGTATTTGAACTTCTAATCACCTAGCAAGTATGCACTTAATGCATTCTGAACTTTGGTCTCTTCAAATGTACAGGAAGTGTGCTAACTATTGCATTTGACTGGTACAAATGGGCAAGAATTTCATTTCAGATCATTTTTGCTAAAAAAAAAAAAAAAGTTGTGAAAGCTCACATAGGTCTTATTCAAGAGAGAAAGAACTTGAGGTTGAAAAAAATTCTAATGAGGTAGAAAGTAAAACAAATGTATTTTCCCTTCCTTAGATAGTGGGATTAAGCAGAACGAAGCGAGTCAGGTGAGAGGGCAGCAAATGGATAGCCACCTGTTATATGTTGCTGTTGTTGTTTCCATCATGTCGGTCAAGGCTGGTCTAGGATTTTGGAGAAGCACATGTTGTGAGGGGATTTGTGCTGAAAAGATGACAGATAACATTGTCTTTTGTCCCTACCATGGTGTAGGGTAGGGCGCCGTGCTTAGCTGTCATTTCTTGGTTAGTTTACTTTGCAAAGCAGTCCTTCCTAACTGTGGTATCGGTGTGCTTTCTCTGTTGCCAGAAGGGGGAACGTGTGAAGTTATAGCTGCACACAGATGCTGCAACAAGAATCGGATTGAGGAGAGATCACAAACAGTAAAGTGCTCCTGTCTACCTGGGAAAGTGGCTGGGACAACGCGGAACAGACCATCATGTGTTGACGGCAAGTAGCTTGCACAGTATGTCTTATGGATGTGTGTAACCTTTTACCGTACAGTCACATTCTTCCAAATAACCTCGGGGTGCGTAAATCCCTGCATTTGGAGGACCTGGAAAGTTGATGTCTTTACCATTACATAGCTGCCATGAGACAGGGCACCCAACATGTAGAATTGGTCAGCAACTGAGTACGGAGGAGTCTGGATAAGGTGTAGCTTATGACTGTTTTAGCACATTAGGCCTATAGTTTCAAGCATACTTCCTTCCATAAGCTAAAGGGATAGTGCAGGAAGGAGCTGCTCTCTTTGAGTGAAGAACCGTGGAAGAGTGCAGTAAACAGAAATCACACAAATTCAGTGCTGGTGAATGGAAAAACTGTGCTTTTTTCATTGTGGGGGTTTATTCCTATAAAAGCACACCGCAAACACAACTGCTTTACCTGCAGTTACTCTGAAAATGAGTACTAACAAAACCAGGGGAAAGCATATTCTTTTGAACCAGAAGCAGAAAGATAAGGCTGAGCAACCTGCCAGCACATAAAGCTGGTCTTTGTGCTGATTATACAGATATTTCCTCCGAATTTCCATTTTGGTTCCATAACCCTTGCTTAGTAGCCATTGTCCTCTCCCTGTCCGAGCAGGGACCTCCGCATACACTGTGGTGTGAGGCATGGAACAGTGTGTCCACGTGCAGATGGAAATCCTGATACTGCATGAACAGAAGGTCTATTTGCCTTACTCTAAAGAGGTTCCATTATTTATAATATGGCCATCGGCCCTGATCCTTGAGGGGACAACTCCAATTAAAGTGTTAACAAATGATTGATGGATTAATGAATTAATTCATCTCCAAGATTAGCTAATTCATTCTGCACAATCTACGAGCATTGCTGCTGCAGCTGTTGTTGCTTGTTGTTGTTGTTAAAGACCACAATGAATCCCCTCTCTTCCTTCATGCATGTTTATTTTAGTTCATCCACTTCTTAGTCACCTTTCCAGATCATTGTCCTCCAGAGTCAGTTTAGAGCACAAAGATAGAAACAAAAAAGCATCGTTAAATAAAGCCTGTTTCCATTAAAACAATGCAAATATATTAATAAAAGCATGGTTGGGAATGATGGGAGTTGCTGTGCTGGGCTCTTTTTGTTTTTAATTTTGAAATTCCTTTGTGCCAACACTTGTCTCATTTGTGTTGCTACATTAAGAATTCAAGTGGCTACAGTTGATGAGCCTTAATTAATGTGGCTTTTTTAAAGTTAGCAGCACCACTTCGGCAGTATGACCCTGTACTGAATGTCATATAAATACTTGAATAACATAATGAAAAAGATGGCTTCTGTTTTGAATAAAATGCAGCACTCACATTTTCTCCCATAGTTTTTCTTTAATTCTTTTGAGAGCTGTCTTTCAACCTTCTCACACCTTTCCTTCCTTCCTTCGACTCTAACAATTCATTCTCTGCAGAGCTTGAATGGGATCTTAAGGGTACTTAGAGTAATATGGAATCTTTCTATGATATTGCAACAGTGCGATTAATACAGGTCCACTGGATGAAAGCTTTACTTCCCGTCTAGCTAACATAAGCACATTTCTTACAAATCACAGTAAGACTGACCTTGGATGAGCAAAGTCTTTCTCCCCAATCCTAGCTTTTTAATGAGATAAACAGTGTTAAAGACTCCCAAATGGTGAGATGTAATTATTGGGCAGGGGCACATACTTTTGTCTACCAGAGTTTCTCACTGAGTTGATTATTTACTACTTTAACAATCCAGGCAAAATTAACTATTGGATTGAGTTGAATGCAATGTAGAAACCAGAAGAAATCGGCTTTTACTCCAGTTCTCAGACTCACTTATGAGAGAGGCCTTTTCGCATAGATAGAAAAATGTTGCCAAATTTCTCCTTGCAAGTGTGTGATAATATGGACATTTCATAGGTGGTTGATTCAAAGCCCATTGAAGATAATGATGGGGTTGTTAGGAAGCTCAGGGGTGCACCTATTGGGATGGTGACGGGCAGGGGAAGATAAGGTGTTGAGGTAATAGCTGGGCAGTGAGGAGAAGAGAGGTCAGATATCTCACATCTGCCGCATTTCCTGGTTTTCCCCCCAGCCAAATGGTTCCTGGGAGCCATACCAACCAGCCTTCCAGCTTGCTGCTGTTGAATGCCAGGTTGGTTCAGAATAAGATCTCTCATTCATGATCTGATTTTGGATGAGGGAGCCAGCCTGGCATGCATTACTGAGACCTGGGTGGAGGAGGTGGAAGGGGTTGTCCTCACCCAACTGTGCCCACCTGGGTACTCAGTGCAGCAGCAGCATCCTGAGACTGCAGTTGGGGTGGCTGCAGTCCAAAAGAAGTCCATTCTGCTCTGTAGGCTTCTTGTTCACTTGGGGGCCAGTCTTGAGTGTTTGTATCTTGTGTTGAGCTCCTGAGTTGGGCGCATCCTGATACCCAGCAGTCTTTCCGCCTGAGCTGATGGAGGTGGTCCCAGACCTCGCATGGAGGACCCCAGAATGTTGGTTCTGGGGGACCTGAATTCCCACACCAAGACTGCCTTATCTGGGGCAGCTCAGGACTTTGTGGCCTGCCACAACAACCATGGGACTGTATCAACATGTCACTGGTTTTCTCAACTGGACAGGAGGATTGTGATCTTGAGGTGCAGGAGTTAACTTTAACTCCTGTGCTCAGGTCAGATCACTTTCTGGTGAGGTTTAAACTTTTGGAAAACTTCTTCCTCTGCAAGGAAGAGAAGCCTATTAAGATGGTCTGCCCACCAGAGAATAATAGATCCTGATGGTTTCCAGAGGCTCTGGGGAATGACACAGCTGGTATGATTGGTGCTCCTGGTGAAGCCCAAATTACCTTGTGGAATACAGAAATGACTCGGGTGCTTGACACAATCGTGCCTAAATGGCTTCTCCAGGTACCTCCCTGGTATACATCTGAGCTTAAGGCAAAGAAGCTAGAGGGAAGATGACTAGAGTTCAGGTGAAAGAGATCTCATGATGAATCAGATCAAACACATCTTATAGCTCATTATCAAGACTACTGTATTGCAGCGACAGTGGCAAAACAGCCTTTTTTGCTGCCGGCATTGCATCTTCACAGTGCCATCCAGCTGAACTCTTCCAAGTGGTGTGGGGCCTTTTGCAATCTGGGCCATCAGGTGAGGCTATTGAACTCTTGGTAGCTCACTTTGATGAATTTGCTCATCACTTTGAAAATAAAGTCGCCTAGATCCATTGCGAGTTGGAATCCACAGTTAATTTAGTTCCATTAACATCGGTGTCCATCCATCTGGTCCAGTTTTTCATGGACGAATTTTAGTTACTGAAGCTTGTTGGTGAGGACAAGGTGCTTGGTTATGTCCATCCTACCAACTGTTTGCTTGACCCTTGCCCATCTTGGCTGTAGATCTAAAGAGGTTATAAGGAGGCATGGATTGAGATGTCATCAATATGCAGATGACACTCAACTCTACCTCTCTTTTTCATCAAACCCAGGTGGGGCAGTGTCTGAACTGATGCCTGAGCTCTGTAATGGACTGGATGAAGGCCAGTCCAGGTAAGATGGATGTACTGTTGGTCGGCAGTTCATCTGTACAGTTGGAAGCATTTCAACCTGTCCAGCACAGGGTTGCATTTAAGAGGCAGGGTCCATAGCCAGGGGATGCGTCTAGATCCAAAGCTATCACTTGAGCCCCAGGAGCACCTTTCTTCAGCTGCGGTTGATTTACCAGCTGCGGCCCTATCTGGACAGACAGAGCTTGGCCACAGTCACCTAAGCTCTGGTAACCTCTCAGTTGGACTACTGTAACATGCTGTACATGGGGCTGCCTTTGAGGATGGCTGAGAAACTTTGACTGGTCCAGGATAGGGCAGCGCGCTTGTTGACAAGGACCAGCTAGCGTGCCCAGTCTTTACCAATTACATCAGCTACCAGTTGAGGCCTGGGCCCAATGTAAGTGCCATAAAGCCCCAAATAGCTTGGGGCCAGGAAGGGATGCCTGAAAGAATGCCCACACCCCTTGGTTCCTACCTGACACTAAGATTAGCTTCAGGGGTCCTTCTCAGGGAACCATCCCCAAAAGAGGTGAGTGGGGGTGGCAAAGAGGAGAAGGGCCTTCTTAGTGGTTGTACCTCATTTATGAAATATGATCCCCAGAGATCTAGTGCCCTCATTGTTATCTTTCCAGTGCCAAGCAAAACATTTGTCTTTATAAGACAGTTTTAGAACCATTGAATGAATCTTTTATATTTTTAGAAATTTTAATGATTGTTTTTACCATTCCTGTGCCTAAGGTAATTTTACTGACTGTCGTAATTCTCTGCTATATGTCTGTATTTTTGTTGTATTGTATTGTATGGCCTTTACTGTATGATTTTTCTGGTTTTTTTAATTCATTTTGGGTTGCACACCACTCTAGAGAGCCTTGAAGGCTATGGAACTGATATAGAAATGTAATAAATAAATAAATAAATAAATAAATTTAAATGACTAAAGGAAAGGTAAATGTTGGTTTCCAGTGGGCTTTGAGGAAGACTTGAGAAAATACTTTGTATTACGCACAAAGCTTTTTTGTATCAGCACTTGAATCAAGTGAAAATTGTTCACAGTCAAAAAGCCAATAGTTTTCCATTTATCTAATATGTACTTTAGATGGTATCAAAGAACAGTTCTCTCTCCCCCCCTCCTTCCCTCCCTCCCTTTCTCTCCCCCCACCCTTTAAAAGTACTTTCAATCAATTCTTATTTCAACAGAAAAAGGGAAAATGTTATTTTAAACCCAAAGAGTCAACTTCTCATCCTTCTAGCTGTGCTCTGGCCTAGATAAGGTGGGATCTCAGGGTTCCCAGTTATTAATGTACTGTCTTTATGAATAACGAGCAGGCTGGAAGAATTATTTTTCACTCCTGGGAAAATCTATAGCCCTGTCCTTCCATAACACCACTGGAAAATAAGTAGGAGATTCATATTGGTGCATTCAGATGACTTCAT